TTTTTCCCTCTTGGAATTGTGGAACCAATTCTTGGCTAAGAATAAGAGAAATGGAAGATAGACTCTTGACCGAGTAGAGGAGCAGAGGTTACAGATATAGTATAAAAGAAATGAGGAAGAGGATAGGCTAGTGAAGGGAAGGAATTCTGATGGATTTTCTGGAGATGGTTGGAGCTTTTCTGGAATTTGGGCAACCCATCTTTTCGTTCCTTTTAGGGTTCTTTCTGGTGGTCTTCAGAGCAAATGTCAATTGTCATGGTGCTGGCAGTGTCTGTGAGAGTGCAGATGGGCTTACACTGACTTAGAGGTTGTTTAGTGGTCACTCTGGCAGCCATCCTATATCCAACCGTCTGGACTAGCCCCCCTGATGAGGACTTCTGGCCTACATGCATCCAGTCCTCAAAGCTAAACAGGGGTAGGGAAGGGCAGAAATTCAACAGGTCTTCAAGGTCATACAATCAGAGCAGGGGACAGTCCTGCCGTTTGCATCAATTAGATTTTTTAATCATCATGCCTGAGAGTATAGTTCTTGGAGGGTTGTCTTAGTTTAATAAATAATAAAATATTTACAGAATTTTAATGCAAATAGAATAATGCAAGTCATATCTTCAAAACATAACAAATTGAAAATTAGTAAAGCTTAGGTGTTGTCAGAGGTATAGACGAATTTCTGTCTCATTCTGGGTCCCATACTCTCAATATGATTATCAGCTGGTGTGATTTTTCAGATGTCTTTTAAGTGCTTTCTCCCCTCTGGATTACTTGCAAGGTTTGGTCTCCATGTCACAGGTTGTCAACTTGTGTCAGAATCATCTGCAGGGTCTGCTGAACCTTGCTGCTGGGTTCCACCCCAGAGTGTGGGGTTCAGTGATCCAGGCAGGGCTCAGGGATGTGCATGTCTAGCAAGCTTTCAGGTGATGCCGATGCAGCAGGATGGGGGACCACTCAGCAGGCAGCCTTGGGGGGTTTGTGATTGATGCTGGGTTCAAACATTAGACTTTGAAAAGAGAGAAGATGAAAAGAAGGGTAACATTCCTCTGGAAAGTTAATGGAAAAGAAAAGGTAGACATATTAGAGAATATACACAACCCAGAGTCTTAATTTTTAAAGAATGAATTATTTAAGAATTTCCATGCAAACCAGGAAGCTAAAATTCAGGAGGCTTTCATTAACTCTCAGAATGTGATTCCTTATCTAGTCATCAAAGAAGGAAAGACAGAAGTGATAATTTAATTGTAACTTTTTTTTTTTAAAGAGGGCTTTGCAATGTAATACAAGCTGGCCTCAACCTCCTGAATCTGGGATTACAGGCATGAAGCAACCACACCTGATGCTTTTCTTTTTTGACAGTACTGGGATTTGAACTCAGGGCCTCAGAATTGATAGGCAGGGGCTCTACCACTTGAGCCGCACTCTCAGGGGCCATGGCCTGCACTGTAATTCTCCTACTTATGCCTCCTGTCGAGCTCAATGTCATGCTCTGCTTATTGTTCTTATTGTTTGAGATGGAGTTTTGTTAACTTTTTGGCCAGGCTGACCTTAGACTGCAATCTTTCCAATCTCTGCCTGAAGAGGAGCTAGAATTATAGGTGTGAACCTTAGCGCCTGGCCTGCTTCTTGTCTTTAAGGGGCCTGCGAAATCCTGTGTCTCTGAATCCTTGATTTCCTGTTTCAGAATTAATATCACGTACACTACCTCACTGTTCCTGTTACTATATTCAGTTGTTTTCATAAACATATGAATTAGTGCATGGCGTGGGCATACCACAAGAAGACAGCACTTCAGTTCATCTCCATCCACCTGTAGTGTGCAGACGTAAGCTGTATGTTTAAATAGACAAAGAACTGGGGGCAGGGAGGAAAAGTCTGAATAATTATCAAACAGTCCTGGTCACAGGTGTGGTCCAATGGGTCACTATCTTAGTCCTGGTTTTGGGAGAGCTTCTGGAGAAATTGTCTGGGGGAGTCATAATTGCCTGGCAGGTGGTCTGTGCTGAGAAGGCTCTATTGTTCCTTAGGGGTAGTTTCAGTCCCTTGTCATAAAGATGTTATCCATCAGTCCTTTCCTTCCTGGAACCAAGGTAATGCAAAATGGCTGCAGAGAGAATGGCTCAAAGCAGACAGATACAAAATGGAGGCAGGGATGCCAAGGTTTTCTCTTGCTTTCAGTTAATTTGTGGGCCCAAATAAGGAGTGAGTGCTTTTCAGCAAAAGCAGTTTAAGTACCTGTTTAAAAAAAGATACAATAATTCTATCTGGCATAATTTGAATTGTTGTGAAAGTTAGTAAAAGGTATCCAGGTTGTCCTGAGGACCAAAAAAGGAAGGTGATTAAATGAAATTCATAAAGTTCAGAGCACACAGATGGAATGTTAGTGCACCCAGGTTACACATTAACTAAGAGCTGGAACCCAGGAGTAGTGTAGACTCTGAGGGGTATTCAACCCCCAGCAAGTGTTTACGGGTAACTTGTGGATTTCTACCCCCCCAAATTTATAGCTTCAAACTTCACCGCCTAAGTGGTCATGTTTGCCTGTGTTTCACTACCTGTTCCTTTCCCTGTGTTACTCATTTAATTCCTACCCCCTGCTCAAGTCATACAGCCTGATCTTCACTCCAAGGCACTGAGAAACAGAAAGCGCACTTCAGACTCCAGGTCTTCCCCTTCTACCATTCAGGACCAGACTTGAGAGGCTCTTGCTCTCTTCCTTCCCTCCCTCCAGCTACTTTATTTGCTCCCCTCTGCCCTTTCTCTTCCTTCTCTCCCTCTTGCAGTAGCAAACTATAGCCGTTCAACTTTCTTATTCTTCCAATGAGATCTTTCTTAAATCCAAATTCCCACTTTGCTAATGTCACCCTAGAAAAAAGCTATCTCATTTTCTCACTTCCTCAACATATTAACATTTGAACCCTGCTTCCAGTACCTTGACCTTAATTCCTATGCCAGAAAATAGACAAACTAATCTGCACTTTCTTGTTTTGTATCATTTTCTAAAAGCAGCAGTCTTACTTGAACTTTCTGACGATGTACTGGATCCTTTGATTGTCGACTACTTCTGTAAAATCCTCTAACGTCTGACTTCTATGTGCTCTTTCCCTATTGAACCCGAGAACTTCTTTTTGATCTGTATTCATATATTCAGTTTTTCTTCCTGTCTCATGACTGTTTCCTATGTGTTAATCTAGGCTTTCTTCTCATTTCAATAAGAAGAAAATTCCAGAAAGACATTACACACTTGTGGTTTTAACTACAATGTGGGGTTTTACTGCAATATATTTCTAATACTATTTTTCTCCTGAACTTCAAACTTCTTGGTACAGCCCACAGATATCTTAAGCTCAATAAATTTAAAAATAAGTTTCCTATCTTTATGCCCACTCTTTGACTTCCAGGTGTGTTTCTATCTCAATTGGTGTTCTCACTCATTCATATGGATACCTAAATTGAAACCAGAGTTTTAGGGTGAAAAGTTCTAGCTCTGGGAATTTCAATGGGACTAGGCTCAGCCATCTATCCCTATTGCCAATTAAAGAGCTGAGCAACAGTGAAAAGCAGAGAGAGGAGATCTAATTTATGTGATCACCTTGGGAAGACAAAGGGATTCAATGACCTCAAGATCATCTTTGGGTATTGACATAAATTTCAGGTTTGAGTGGAGAAGGCACTGGGACAGGGTGAGAGGAATATGTGATTAGGTGGTCCTGGTCAAACATATGCTCCAGTTGATCCTCATCCCAGCTGGGATATGTGGTCAGGTGGCAGCTGTTCACATAAGAAAAAGACATTGTTGTATGAGGGCCAGTTTCTGCTTTTGTCCCAAGATGTTTATTGATTGACCCTGTCCTTCCTGGACTCCCAACATGACCATGGGGATGGAGGAAGGAGAGACTCGGAAGGAAAAAAAATGGTTAAAGCATCAGAGAGAGACAACTGGGGTTAGTTACGGCAGGCCCGGTGCCCTCCTTCAAGTTCACAAACATGTAAGTCACCTTCATTCCTCTTGTTCCTGACCCAGAGACATGACGTTCAGTTGTACAGGCTGCTCACTGAAAACAGAGGCTAGATTAGGGTTTAGCATGCTGTTCTGAAGAGTCAAATAAACATTAAGCTTTGCATGTCACATGGTTTCTGTTGGGGTACCCTCAGACACAACTCTCCTGCTCTGAAGCAAAAGCAGTCACAGAGCTTAGATGAAAAAGTGACAGGAGCTAGGTTCCAAGAAAAACTGATGTGACTTGCCATCCCCTAGCTCAGAGTTGGGGTCACTGAAACACAGACTATGTTCTACTTGAGTAAAGCACTGGCCACCAAATGGTGCTGTTCGGGCTGGTAATCTTCTTCCCTTAAGCTTCCACTCTCCAAATGTCATCGTCACATCAATTTTAGATTTATTTTCCAGATATATCTTGACTACATGACCCTTCTGTTCTGCTGTCATTGCTTACGTGTATGTGTCATTGCCACTCCTGTATGTGTTACACAAAGCAGACTTATGAAAGTGTCTAGACTTACCTGCCTCCCAGTCCTTCCCCCAAGCTTTATATTCTAGCCATCCTGAGTCACATGAAGTCCCAGGGAGCACACAAATCTGTTTCTTTGCTCTCTCTTTCTCTGCCATATTACCTTCATGTTTTTAGTTTCCACCGAGAAAAGTCATTTTCAGGCTCCCAAACTAGGTTCAACTGTCATGTTTCTGGGAATATTTCCCTTTAATTCTCCACAATGGCTGACAGAATTAACCACTTGTACTTGCTTGCAAACTATTGGAAGCCATCTGACTACATTTTTCTCCTTTATTAGATCCTGCAAAAATAAGACCTGTACTTTTGTCATCTGTATATCTACACTGAGTAGCTAAAGACCTAACATATGATTTCCCAATGATTGTTGAACTGAGTTGACTTGAATTGTCTTGAAATCTGAAATCTGAAAACAATTACTCTCAGAACCTGCTTCTCAAGAGGCATCTAAAATATTGGGATTTTTTATTTTAATTGCAGAAAGAACTTCCAGATCATTACAGGCCTTGGATGGAAATTGCTAGCAAACTTCCTCACTTGATTGAAAGCCACCAACTTCGGGCTCATGTGAACAAGGTATATCGTTTTTATTCTTCATGCTGTTCTCTTATGCCTCTTCCTGCCATCTTGTTTTTCTGTTCATACCTCTTTTGTCTCTCAGCCTTGAGGGAGTGAGACAGTGGACTTAGGAAGATGATTGTTGCTACTGAGATTGTCAGCAAATCTGCTTAACCTTTTCCTAAGAACAGAGAAACTCCTCCCTGCTCCTGTGTTTCCCTAAAGCTTCCAGGGCCTGCACAAAACATACCTGATCCATATTAAGTCCTCACCACTTGTTTTGTTTTAAAAAGTAGCTGCCTGGGAATTGAAAATAAGTCAATGGAAAATGTGCAGCCTGGGAGACAAATCACATGGCCAGTGCTCTGCTGCCTCCAAGTGGCAGTCCTGACTTTGTCACTGGTATTACAGAGAAATTGAACCAAGGAAATTTCTGATTTATAAACTCGTTGACTATGAATTCTGTAGAAATGAGTCTGTGAATATCACATAAGCATTTACATATACTTGTGTATATGATGCAGAATGGGTGATAAAATGAGCAATTTTTTCTTAAGAATATGCAAGGAACAGTGAAACTCTTTGGTCCCAGAAAAACTTTAATTATCCCATAAGGGATAATAAGAAGGTATAATGGGGAAAACGAAGATTTTTATCCAGAAAGAGCTGCGTTTATCTTGGTTTTATCAGTTAATAACTATGAAACCTTGACCGTTAATCTTGCAATCCCCCTTCCCTCTTTAAAAAATGGGGGGTACTGGTCTGGCAGTATTGTTGTGAAAACTAACTTTCGAAAGAGCCTGCTGTTCAATGTGTATTTATTACTTCCTTTCTTCTCTTCTCCATCTGTCAGTATCAAGCCACATGACTTCACAGGCATGACAAAAGCTTTCTACCCTTAGAGCTCTTCTTTGTGGATGTGTTCATATTCTTTTTTTGGTGGGACTGGGGTTTGAACTCAGGACTTCCTGCTTGCAAAGCAGGCACTCTACTGCTTGAGCCACACCTCCGGCCTGATGTGTTCATACTTAATGTTTATAATTACAAATTGATTTAAAAACAGTTATTGAATTTCTGCTCTGTGCAAAGCATGAGATCCGAACCCTGTAAAAGACAAATAAGAGATTCGTCAATGTCTGTGAAGATGGCAAACTGAACCTAGTAATTTCTTTGCTTATTGTATAAAAATTTCATTGACCCAAAGGAATATACAAAGAAAGAAGAAAAAAAGAAAATAATGTAACTGCCTGAAGACGGAGGAAAGGGTATGTGATAACATAAGTCTTGAAGGATTTTTGAGCTGTGGTAAGCACATTGCATGTGAGATCCACAAATAAGTGAACAGCACCATGCCAAGCCTTGAACCAAGCAAAAGAAGGTTCCTGTGAGCCCCTCCCCATTGCAGGAAAGCAGAGAAGAGACAGTTGCATGAGGTCGGGTTAGAATTCAGTTTGTGAACTATGCAGTGCCAGGCTTTCCTCTGGTTGTATTTGTTCAGTTGAGGTTCCTCATATGTCATGCATTGTACATCAGTCTTTTTTTTATATCTAGTGTCTGGTGTTTTTTTTTTTTTTCTATATTATATCCATGCTCTTCTCCTATGATGTGTCTGAATATTAACTCTAGTTTGGGTAGATTTTATGTTTGTTGTCTATATTTGTGTGTGTGTATTCTTCTTTTTGATTGGGGAAAGAGGCCTGTGCAGAGGGGAACTTCTAGGGGAAGATGTTGTTTAGTGTCAGACGTGTTGTGTGATCAGGACTGTGCTGAAATAGTGCAAGATTGACGTTTGAAGGGCCGTGTATGATTAGAAGTTAGAAAATAGGGTGTATCTACCGAGGTCCAATGGGTTGGGATAGATTCTTTTTATTTTTGTCTACATTGGAAAGGGAAGTCAGAGAGGGTAGAATGGGGATGCGTGGGATATGCTGTGGAAATGTTAGGACAAGAGGCGCGGGCCACGGCCAGAATAGCGAGAGATTTAAATGGTAGGGGACAGGGGGTCTGTCTCGTTGAATTGGTGGCCCATAAAGAAAGCTAGTCGCCATGGTGGAGGTACGATAGTGGGGTGGCGTGTCCGTGTATGGTGTGATTTGCCTAGAAGCGCAGGGTATGGAGGCTGCGAATTGCACTGGCAATTTGGGGGAGGAAGGGGGTGGTGGTGAGGAGGAGCGACAGGTGAACTGAAGACGGAGGACGCGGAGAGGTGGCGGCTCCGATCGGGGGCGGTGGGGGTTTGGGGGGGGGGAAGGGGTACGGGTGTGTTTTGCTGTGGGTGGGGGGCGAGATCAAGGGCGCGACGCGGGGGCAGACCCGCAGCTGGGCGGAGACGGAAGGACGGAATAAGACATGCAAGGGGAGAAAACACGGGGAAGGTGGCCCAACAAAGACTGAGGGGGAAGCAGTGTCAAAGCCGGGTAGGCAGCGAGGAAGAAGTGCGAGAATCCACACAAGAGCGATGAGAAAGAAAACGGCAAGACTCGGGAAACTGGGACGGGGAAAAGGCACGGAAGGAGGAGGGAAGGGTGTGTTGTGGTGTTTGATGGGTACAGTAGAGCCCAAGCCACACCTGGGCTCTGGAAGACCCGACATGCCGGATCGCAGTGGGTGAACAACTTGTTCATTGGCTTAGACTCATCCACTCACATTTCCCAGAAAGATGTGCTCACAGGGAGCATGCAGGAAATTCAGTTTTACTCTGGAGATGTAAAAAAGACAAATCACATTATTTACTAATCTTGATAATATTGATATCCATTCATATGAATAGACAAACAGAAGTTACTAAATATACAATTAATGAGTAATTTAAAAAGATGTGGGGAGGGGGAGACTACTGAGCATTCAATGGCCTCCAATAAATAACCAAAGATGAGATATATGCTTTTAAAATTATGATTAATGTCCAGTATATCATCTTCATATTTTAAACAAAAATTGGTATGTAACAGGAACTATTAGAAAGCAAAGAAGAAAACACAAAAGCTCAGAATAATCAAGTAAATTCAGTGAAACACTGATTGTGAAAGAATTTCATAAGGCAAAAATCAAAGAAATACAAACCATTGGAAAAATGAATGTGAAAAAGAAAAATACAGTCTCAATTCCTTGTAATAAAAGTCCCATAGGAGATTAACAGGGATACAGGAAAAGCAAAACTTGAAAATTTTTGACAAGCGCCAGTTACTCACACCTATAAGCATAGCTACTCAGGAGGCAGAGATCAGGAGGGTCATGGTTTGAAACCAGCTAAGGCAAATAGTTCATGAGACCCTCTCTTGAAAAAAATGCATCACAAAAAAGGGCTGGTGAAGTGACTGAAGGTACAGGCCCTGAGTTCAAACCCCAGTATTACAAAAAGAAAAGACAATTTTCAGATCTTAATGAACATTTGATTTTTACAGCAGAAACACAATTTGGGAGGTGGGATAAGGGATAAATATAAATACACTGATGAAATAAAAAACTTTCTATCATAATAAGATGATAGAAAATAATGCTTAGCCAGGAAATGTTAAAATGAAAACTAGTTTAGTTACAGACAAACTACATAGGACTATTTATCTGTAATATCAAACAGTAAAAAAAAAACTTAGTACTGACTTGACTGGGTAAAATAAAAAACTAAAATTTTATGTTCATAGAAAGACCTGTATGTGAATATTATAATAGCTTTACTCATAACCACCAAATAAAAGACCTTGAAGCAACCAAGACATCCATCTACAGAGGATTGACTAACTGGAGTTAAAGCATCCCCTGTGTTAGAATACATGGCGGGACACCACCAGGGGTCAAACATAAATGAGTACTGATTCGTGCACAGCATGAACAAACCTTAAATACACTTAACTAAATGGAAGACCCCCAAACCTTCATATCGTATGATTCCATTTATGTGACATTCTGGAAAAGGCAAAACTATAAGCACAGAAAAGAGATCAAGGATTGGTGAGGACAAAGTAGTTGGCTACAAAAAAGATACACTGGGGACCTTTTAAAATGATGAAAGTGTTTGTCCTCAGTGGTGGGTATGTGACTGTATGCATTGAAAACCTACAGATTTTATGTCACAAAGCATGAACGTCCATGTTTGTAAATTTTTAAAAATAAGGCAGAATGGTAAGAGATGACAGGATGGAACATAGAATGTGCAAATGAATCTAACAAAACCACAGATGTATGGCCTAATCTCAGTGAAGACAACTAGGAAACAGGAAGTGGCCTAAGTTACTTGGGAAAATAATTTGACTTTAAGGCTGAAGGAAAAAAAACTAGACAGGATCACTGCACTAGTGGATGTATCTTGTTTCTCGTGAGGGGCAGAGTAACAATTTTGCATTTGTTTAGCTATAGAGTTGGGTTGATCAAATAAACAAACAGATGGCAGAAGATGCTTCTCTGTGAAAGAGAGAAGTTACAGATTAACAATGGAAGCCAGAGGCCAGAGTTAACCTGTAGTACTGGATTAGAGTTGGAGACAACAGCATGAAGTCATGTTTATGCTAATATATTATGTATAAGTCCACGTATGTATAAATCGATAAAAACATACGGTGTACAGGTACTCTGTGTGCATATATATAAATGTATGCATGTGTGTGTCTACACATGCACGCGCTCACACACACACACACACACACACACACACACACACTTCTCCACTGGGAGGATCTAGAAGAAGTGAGATCCCAATTACACTGAGCAAGTCTTTCCAACAAAAAGAACCCACACCCCTGATTATGCATCTGGGGCAGAGAAAACACAGAAGACCATAGAACATCTTGTACTACCAGAAAGGAAGGGTGTGCCCAGAAAAAGATGAGGACACGTCAAATGGAGCTCAGAGGGCCACCAGAAAGAGGTTCCAATGGCCAAGCTGGAATAATCTGAGTAAGCAAATACAATAGGTTAAAATAAAAAACAATATACATATTTTTTGTTGGTGTATCTTATTTGCACACACACACACACACAAAACGGTTCCATTGTGACATTTTCCTGTCACCATCTTCATTCCCCTGCCCCTGCCACTGGTCCCCATACTCTTCCCAAATGCAAACTGATATTTTCAAAAAAGACAATTTAGGAATATTTATAAAGTTAGAGGGAAAATGTATTTAAAATTCAGAATTGTATTGTTCCTCTGTGATGGCAAAAGTAAAATAAGTTATCACTCAAATCAAGAAGAAAGTATACCATGCAATCACTTTGCCTCAATTGCTCAGGAATTATTCCAACAGAAAAAAATATAAGTCAGAATAAAGGAATTCGGGAAATATGAGTACTTCAGAAACATTACCAAAAACTGAAATCAGTAAACTTGATTATAATTATAATCAATTCTGAACAATCATTGATAATGTGACTAGGAAAGAAAATGAGGTTAAAATTTCGTATTTCTTTTAAACTAAAACTGAGGACATAGAGAGTTGTAAAAGTCAAGTATATTCATGCCAGTTTGCTATGCTGTATTATAAAGCAAATGAAAAAGAAAAATAATTTATATTTAACATTGGGTAAAAAGATCTGCTTTACCAGTTATATATTCTAGAACTATAGAAATTGAGACTAGATTGTATTGGGGCAGCCACAAAGAAAGAGAGACCAAAACTTACTAGCGAACCTATATACAGACGCACGGTCTTTGGAAACCTAAGACATGACAGATGTGAGATGCTGGGGTTGGGAGAGAGGAACAGTTCCGGGGCTGATGACCACACAGGAGGCACAGAGCAAAAAACACCAAGTGTCCACTGTGTAAGCACAAACAAAAGTAGAACTAAATGTAAAGGACAGAATTTATAAACCTTCCAGAGGAAATTTAGGGGACTAACTTTATGTTCCAAGACTAAGCAAGGGTTTCCTAATAAGACATATATTGGGATTTTTAAAAGAACTTGTTATCATTGAAACGTGCTCATGGAAACAGGCCAAAAGAAAATGAAAAGAAAAAAACTTCACAAACAGAGAGAGGATGTTGTAGGTAAAAGTGAAAAAAAATGTATCCTGAAAACATGGAGTCCTGAAAAACAATAAGAAAGACAACCGGAGGCTGGGGGTTTAGCTCAATCGTGGTGTGCAAGGCCCTGGGTTCAACCCCCAGCTGCACACACATACACCTGTGCACACACACATGCACACATATGTGTCCACAAGCACACTCACACATGTGCATGCCACATATGCATGCACATAGAAACACGCACACTACACAAAGTATCAAAGTGTTCAAGAGACAGTTCACGGAACAGGAAACATAAATGACCAATAGACACATGGAAGAGAGTTATTAATTGGAAAAATGAGAATTAAAACTATAATGGAGCATAGCATTAACATGTTAATGTTAAAACCACACAACTGGAAATGATTACAAGCTCACACTATCAGGTACTAGCAGCAATGCAAACCACGCAGTTCTCTTGGGCTGTGTGGGTGAGGCCACGTCTTTCAAAAGCTATTTATCATTGTATGGGAATTCTTTTCTCTTTTCCCCCTTTTTTTTAAGGCAGTGTCTTGTTGTGCCGACCAGGCTGTCCTGGACCACACTATGCAGCACAGAGTGGCCTTGCACCGTCCATCCTCCTGCCTCAGCCTCCTGAGTGCTGAGATTACAGGCATGCACACTGTGTATGTAAATTCCTTAGTGCTTCTTAGGCACTAAAAGGTATAAAAGTGAGTGTATCAAGAGGTGTAAAAGTACTATTAATCATGAGCAAAATCATGAAATAACTGAGAAAATGAGTGACTTGCAGCTTCATGCAATAATACAGATGAATCTCAAAACCAAGTGTTGAATAAGAAAAGTAAATCATAGAATATATTCAGCATGATTCTACTGTGTTAAGTTCAAAGTCATTCCAACTAAATAGTACACTGAAGAGTGATCATATGTACTTTTGCATGGTTTGGAAGCAGCAAGGAAATACGGAATAAAAACATTCAGCAATGTTGAGGGGCAGGCAGGGGGGCGGGGCAACACTGTCGGTGCAAGGCACCCAGAAGACCCTGTAAGTTTGGCCAAATTCTACTACTTAAGCTGGGTGAAGGGTTAAGTTGCTTATCTATATATATTCTTATAAATAGATAATTACATGCATTTAATTCATATGCATTGATATAAATTCATAAAATACTTCAAATGTGTAAGAAATTATGAGAAACATTGCAAAAAGTTCAATAAATATATAATGCAGGCATCTTGCCTTGCATCAAGCTGTGGAGGCTAACGAAATGTTCATACCACTTCTCAAAAGCTCCTCACACTGAGGTTTGGCTCTGAAAGGGAAAGTGCACATACCATTGTCCTCCCAAAGAGCCAGAAAACTGTCAAAATGTGAGTTGACCATCATCAAGAAAGACAAGAGGTCAGCTGGTGCAGGACCTTCCCTTTCTGGTGTGACAGAAATCCACAAATGAGTACTTGGTTTTCATTCCAATCTCACTTATATCAGTTAATAAGTTTTTAGTGCACTGTCATAAGGAGAAAATTGTGTGCTCAAACTTATTAACAATTCAGAACAAACTGTCTTAGGAATAAATGAAAAATGATCTGTATTTTATTCATTTGAGAGAGTGAAAAGCAAGTGTCAACAATAACTCTCAAATGATAGGTTTTCAATGTGTCCAGCCATAACACAAATAATTGTTAGATAACATCAAGACAACTAAAAGCAAGTAATTAAGTAGGGAAAAAGGAGAATAGTTCTATCAGAGATTAGGCTCCATAATGCAGAATGTGTTCCACTGAGTCAATAAGAAAACGAACTGAGGGGAAAAACAGGCAAAGGATGTGAACGATGACGTCACAGAAAGAAATGTTAGAATTCATGAGAAGCTTGCAAAAACACCCACCGACAAGCCAAAAATGAAACCAAAGCAATGAAATGTCTGTCTTCAGCAAAGAATTGGAATAAAATATATTAGCATAATGTTAACCAAGAGGTAGCGGGAGAAACACATGTCAGGAGAGCTCTTTCTGCAAGTAATTCCACAATATCCATTTAGCTCTTACATATGCGCATGCTTTGATACAGCAATGTCATCTTCTGGGTTAATCTTGCAGAAATGCTCATTCAAAATGCCAAAGATGGGCACACAAGCTGTGGCAATTGTAATAGCAAAAGATAATATAAGGTAAACAAGAAAGATTTTAAAAATAAGCTAATTCCCTAAATTTCCGTTAATAAATAGATGTTAAATAAGTGAAAACCATTCAGCTATTAAATAACAATATATGTGTCTGCCTCTTGCTATATGCCTTTGCTATGTACTTTACAAAAAAGAAGTGTTTAACAGTGTAGCTATATATAATATATATAATATACATTCCATGTGATTGCACTGCTTAAAATTTATAGATCTATATAGAAGATAAGTAGGCACCCTAAACTTTTTTGGTTTTTGGAGACAAGGTTTCCCTATGTAGCCCTGGCTGGCCTTGAACGCGAGATATTGCAGCTTCCAATGTGCTGGGATTTCAGACACGCATCACCGCATCTGGCCAACCCACTATACTTTTACTGATGATTGCATCCCAGGAGTGATAGCAATGCTAATCAAAACCATTTCCTACCTATAAAGTATATTCATGTACTTCAGATGTACAGATCTGTATTTGATATTTTTACAACAAACTTTTTTTTTTTATTATTCACATGTGCATACAAGGCTTGGGTCATTTCTCCCCCCTGCCCCCACCCCCTCCCTTACCACCCACTCCGCCCCCTCCCTCTCCCGCCACCCCCTCAATACCCAGCAGAAACTATTTTCAATAAACTTCTAAATGAACATATTTTAAGAAGACTCATTCTTCCACAGAAGCTCGGTGGAGTTGGAAAGTGAGACCTGTATTAGGAAAAGTTAATAGCAGCCAGTCTTAAGTACACCAAGGTTGGCCCCTGCAAAATGACTTGTGACTAAAGACACAACCATTCAGCTAGGTAGGTGCTGGCTGCTATGCTTGTGTTGTAGCTAAGTGTCCTCAACCCAGCCTCCCTGTCAGCTAAAGAGAGCTTACAACAAATACTAAGGAAGCAGTATGTGCACGATCCTGCGCGGGCAGGTCCAGCACGAGCAGCCTCAGTCGCGGAGCGCCCGGGTCCCTGGGAGCGCAGCCAGGGGTACGCACCGCAGCCTGGCGCTGTCTGCATCCGGAGCCCGAGGACCGCGCGGCGCGCGCCGGCGGCACAGCCTGCCCTCTAGCGGCAGAGGCTGGCGCTGCAGAGCCACGTGGCAGGGCTGAGCCTGCAACCCCAAAGGAAAGCCAAGATCCCCGCCACTGCCACCGCTCGGGGAAGAGCTGTGACTGCAGCCGGTAGGGAGCAGGACCAGAGCTGATGTCCACCTGACAGGCAGCCCAGCCCCAGGCGAAACTGAGGACGTGGTAGATTTGTTTGGGCAGGGCTGTCACGATAACCTAACTTCAGCACAGGACGCTCCTTTCAACCATGGTAAATGCAATGTGCTGTTGGTTCCTGGTTCTGAGCATGAGGAAGGACGGGGTGGAAAGACCCGGCTAAGGCCACTGTCGCCAGAGCTTTCAAACAGGGCTCAACAAACCTTTGGCCAGCTCAGCTACCTCTCTGTCCCATTTCTGACACCAGTGGGCCTCGTTTTATTCATGCTGTGACAGGGCTAAGTGAAACCCAGCAAGCAGAAGGCGTTGGTAAACCAGGACTGTAAGTTATAGGGAGAAACTCATATGTAATAAGTGATCTCCATTCTGGGAGGTAATTATTCCACAGCACTCACCCAGCGGTGGCCTCAGTGCCTGGCACAAGCTGGGGACAAGCTGGGCCTCAGGTGTGTGGGGGCTGGGGACAAGGTACCTCTTGAAGGAGATCAAGTGAGCCACCTCCCACTGTGGCATCCTGGGATCTGGTGATCACCCACTTGTGTGAAGGCTCTGAGTCCCTTGTCCCCATCCCAATCTTTGAACTACTAATCTTTAGGACTTCTTTTGACCAGATGCCCCTCCTGGACCTCCAGTTCCTAAATAGTTACCGGGAGCAGCGCCTGGCCCACTTGGTCCTGAGCTCTATTACCATGGGGTATGTCTGGCAGGAAGGAGAGACACAGCCTGCGGAGGTAAGGGGCAAAGAGACGCCTGGCCTGTGATTCCGAACGTCCCTGCTCCTGTAATAATCCACACTGCTTGGATCTTCACTGTTTAGCGGGGAGTGCCTTGCTGTTTTCCCAGCTATTCGTTCAAGAATGGGGAAGGGCCCACTTTAATGAAGAACTTTTTTTTTTCCCCTGCAAAAAAGCTCATTTTCTCTTAGATCGACAGCCATTCACACTCTTATTAGTGTTTGAGAGTATTCCTTCAAAGGAGGCCAAGGGAGGAAGAAAAGAAGGAAGGAAAGATAGCCAATAATAATGAAATTCATCACATCTGTGTAGGAATGAGGCACAATGAAAGATACTGAAAATTGATGACTAACACAGGATGGGGGAAAGGGGTGAGGAAGTGCAGTGGAAGGGATTACATTGACTTAAGAACAATACATGTACAAGAAGGAAGCAGAGAAAGTGAATATGGGTGATGTACTTTCTATACAAGAATGAATATAGAATTTTTAAACCCATTGAACTTAAAAAGAAAAATGGAGGGGATGAATGAATTTGGGATACACTACATATATACATGGAAATGTCATAATGAAACTGTCTGTATAGCTATCTTAAAGTAAAATGTCTTTTTTTGTTTTTTAAAGAAGACAGAATGGTAAAACAGGTCCTGTCTGGGGGTTGGTATCAGTGGGAGGGTGAGGATATAAAGAAAGGATGTAGGAGGGTGAATATGGTAGAAATATTACGTACTCATGTGTAAAAAGGAAAAATGAGACCTGTTGAACTTAAGAAAAGGGAGGAAGGGGTCAAAATTTATGGTGTTCTAAATTAAGCCATACAGTTTTAAAAGTCCCAAAGTTTTGCTAATTTCTATCTCCCTCAACACCACACTCAACTTTTTTCCACAGAGATGAGGCTTTGTAAACTTTTTTGCCTGGGATGGCCTTAAATCATGATCTCCCCAGTCTCAGCCTTCCAAAGTACCTGGGATCACAGGCATGAGCCAGCACATCTCTTCATCTTTTATAAATGTACCTTTCCCAGACACCAGGAAGCTAGTCATCCCTGTGGAGCTCCATGGTTAAGTGGGCAGCCCATGGCTGTTTTCTTTGCCTGACTGATCCCACACTGAGGGACAAGGACCATGCAGAGCTGCCCCACATTTTATATGGCTACACGTCTCATTTTAAGAACCGAAGTGTGAAATCCAGGCACATAAGATGACATCCCAGTGAGTCCCCTGTGCCATCTGCCCCCTCAACCATTATCCTATGTCTGGGGAGGAAAGGGGAGGGGTGTAGTCTCCAGCCCTGACCTGGACCCATGCAGTTCCAGCTCCTGAGTGAGCTCCTCACCTGTCCCTACCCTGCCTCTGGCCAGGCTTGTTCTCCCTGTGTCTCTCCACTGCTCACTTCTCAGCTAAGCTCACTTCTCCCCATCCTCCCCATGCCTCCTAAGGTCTAATTTCTTTAAAGCTCATCTCTGTTTCTTACTTACAAAACAGTTCTGCTCCAAAGCCATCTAAAAATCAAAGGCAAAAAGTAAATTGCAGAAGTGGAGCTTCTTTTATAGATATTTCTATTTAAAAGAAAAGAGGACTGGCACACAGCACAAGGCCCGGGGATCCAGCCTCAGCATGGAGAGAGAGAGAGAGAGAGAGGGAGAGAGAAAGAGAGAGAGAGAGAGTGCACAGGTGGTGGGGAGCATATGAATGTTTGTTTTTTAAAAATCTAGACTAATTCGGCCTTTGGCAGGGCTAGAGCCCCCTAGGAATAAGGCTCTGTGGGCATCTGCTCAAGAGACAGTCCAAAGATGAGCATCTGAAAGGGTGGGATGGGGACAGGGCCTGTGACTTGAAGGGTGCTCTGAGTGTGAGGGAGCAGGCAGCCTCTCAGTGGTATTACACCAGGGTGGTGGATCTGTGTGTTCTAGGTCCCAAAGTGCAGGCTGAACTATAAAAAGTTGTCCAGTGAATCAGAAGAGACAAAAGAGGCTGAATGGGGTCAGTGGAACTGGTTAACTTGAAGTTGTTACAGGATTCGACTTGCAAAGTGACCCACAGAGTCAGTTGGGTGCAGGCTGAGGTGTTCTATCCTTCTCATTCTCCTAGGGTGCTAATGTCCAGGATTCACACACTCACAATGGGTGCACACATGCACACACATGTACACATGTGCATGCACAAATGCAAACATATGTGTATACACTTACGTGTGCATACATACACATGTGCACACACTTATACCCACATGCATGCATACACCCATACACAGATACGCATGCATATACACCAGTAAACATACCCACACACATGCTCATACACACACATGCACGTACATACACCTGTATACACATATACACACACACACACTGAACAGGTCTCCTCAGCTCCACTTTATCCTTCAGCATTTTGGTGAGCTCTTCTTCACACAGTTTTCATGGGTTATTGGGACTGTATGTGTTTGTGTGTGTTCCATCTGTGTAATTGTCACATACATTGCAGTGTGCTCTCAGAAACGACATTTCCACTGGTCGTTCCCAGAAGGTTGTATGACGTGCGTGGATATGGCTCACTCAGGGAATTCAAGGTTGCTTCCCCAGCCACTTATCTATCACAGGATAGCTGGAACAAAACAGCCATGGTTATGTCCTCTGTCCTGTCCTTTCTAGAATATGCTAACTGTCTGGATTCATATCTCAAAGGTGCTGCCAAGAAATCTTGCCATTCCCTTTGTGGAAATCTCCAAGAACTTGGGGCTCCCTCCCATTTTGACCCACGTGGACTTGGTGCTAAGCAACTGGACTAAAAGGAACCCAGAAGGGTAAGGAAGTGAGAGAAAGCCTAGAATTTGAACAGATCTGAAAGTCAATAAGGGGCAGTCTTGTGTCTTCAGCTCTCCCCTCAATAGAGGTTCAGGCTTTTTCAACTATTTTATAAGTAGGGATGTTCATTGTTATTATTTTCTTTATGGTTCTGGAGAAAGAGAGTTTGAACACACATTTAAACATCTCAGATCTCAAATCCATTCTGAAAATGCACTTTTTCTTGTTGCTTCCATGTCACATCTGAGTTTCTCAACCTGACTGCCATCTTGCATAGTCACACCTCATTCCTTTCTCATCAAACCGTGTATTCCTAATTTGCCCTCCGTTCAAGTTAAGTTAGGACTGGGGGTTTCAATGAGGGCTCATTCCCACCATAAATGAATGGCTATATGGGTTTATGAGTAGGAGAGCTAGGTATGTTGGGCTGAGAATCTGATTAATACCATCTGTTCCATCTGGTTTCCATCCTCTTTGACAGTTGTGCTGGGAAGTTAAACATTTGTCTTTTGAGGAAATAGGAGTTTTAGGACAGAAGAAATCCAATAGTAAGAATGGGGTGGGGAAGGAAAGTGTTAAATTTCCCTTTGAATTCATTTTCACAGCCAAATTTATTGCAGGCTATAGATGCAAAACATTCACTTGCTTTGTGACCTATTAAAACAGCCAAAGAGACATTGGGCTAGATATGAGAAAGAACTTTTCTTGCATATTGGTTATGGGTAATCATGGGATTACTGAGGAGATAAGAAGCTACTGTAAAGGAGTAAATACTTAACACATAGCTTAACTTCTAAAACTAATTTACAAGCCCATGGAAGGAGTGAAAATGGGCCATGTCATCTCTCTAAAGACCTCTGAGCCCTGGGACTTTCTGTTTTCTAGAGTTATTAATCACACTTTAATAAAATAGTAAGCACTATTTTTAGTGCTATTAGATGTGGCTTAGCATTTGGGTAGAGTAAAATCGTAAATTTATCTGCATGACTTATGCTGGTCAATGTATTGAATGTAGAATAAACTGGATTTATGATTCAACGAAGAAGAGAGGAGGGAAGGCTGGGAAAAGTGGCTGTACTAGGATGGGCAAGTTGACAATACAACAGAAATCTAGTCTTAGGGAGTGAGAGTGCAAGACCTGGTGATGCAGTCAGAGTCCTGGGGATCCCCAGCTGTTCTTGGAGTCCCCAAGTGCTTTTAGAGTCTTTTAATATGCCTAGCAGAGAATGAAGAGCTATGAAGAATGAAAGAAATAGAAACTAAGCCTTCCCAAAGTAGTTAAATATTATGACAAAGCAGCACATGACAAATGACAAAGGATGGCACAAACTATATGTCCTTTGGAATCTCAAGAAAATGGCACCAAAGCAGGCTTTAAAAATTAGGAAACAGCACAGTGAGGAGCAGAGATTGATGTAAGGTCCATCCTGAAAGATGGGTGAGAGTAGAAGAACTAATGCAAACATGGGCTTATGGCAAATAAGGACATATAAAATAATTTACTGAGATAGCCACAGCCATATATTCTGGGACTGAGATGTGAGTTGAGATTTGGCTCAATCTTTATCTTATAGTGGCTAATGGTGCAGTCACACCCTGTGACATCAAGGTATATGTGGATGTGTGTGTCTGAGTGTGTGCCTGGATATATGTGACCCTAGGGGGGTATATCTGATTCACAAACTGAGTTGTTCTTTTCATTCTCTTTTTCTCTTGGTGGTTACCAATAACTGAAATTTCCTAGACCCCTGGAAATCAGGTAAGTCATCAGAAATCTTTTACTCATTTTGAAAATTCATGCTAAATTTAAAAGCTTACAATAAAACAAAAAGGAAACCTTACCAACTTGTATGGCTAGTATAATATCAATTGTACAAAAATGCATGAAAAAGGCAAGAAGGAAATGTGCCCCAAATTAATAGAGTGGTAGTCAGCTGATTTTCCCTTGTAGTGGTAAGGGAATTTGTTTTCTTTACTATGTTTTCTAACCTGTGCAGAATAAAACAAAGTGCAACACAAGGAAACAACAAAAGTCCCCCAGATCTCTGTGATTCTTTGAGGCTTAATGGTCCAAAAGAGATTTATCTCACAATAACTCCCAGGAAGGGCCAATCGTGTTGTAGACACCCAGAAGAATCCTTGAAATGCCTTATCATTACATGGACTGGAGCTTCTGGGCAGGTGTGGTCCAGACGTTCTTAGGTTCCACCTTCCCTGGAAAGAAAGCTGGCCTCGAAGCCACTGTTGCCTCTCCCATCACTGAACCTCAGCTCCACTAAGGGGTCCACTGTCCAAGCTGAGGCCCAGGAGGTGAGGAAGGGAGGTGAAAGATGAAGACATCGCTCCCCAAGGTAACGTATCTCTGCTATTTTTTTGTTTATTGGCACTGGGGTTTGAACTCAGGGCCTGGCGCTTGCTAGGCAGGTGCTCTTACTGCTTGAGCCACTCTACCAACCAGCCTTAACGTACCTCTGCTGAAATGAAGAAATTCCTAATTTATTTTTGCTTTCTTCTGTTTAGGATTGTTTCTCAGCTTTTCTCATGCATAAAATATTGGAGGCAAAGTGATATATGGGGTTAACTTTTTAAGTTTTGTAGACTGCTTCTACTTCTGAAACAGTCAAATTCATTTAAAGAACAACAGGCCATTAAAAAAAAAACTTCCACCTTTCACTCTACTAGACAAGCATTTAATGAAAGATTAAAAGGGACACTGGCCAGGTATGGTGGTGCATACCTGAAATCCCAGCAGGCAGAGGCAAGAGGATTTCAAGTTCCAGCCCAGCCTGGGCCCTACAGGGAGACCCTGTCCCAAAACAAAACAAACCAAAAGTTACAAAGAAGTACTAGCCAGAGTTGTGAAACTACCCCTGATCTGGTCCTGTGACTAGCCTGCTACATGACCTAAGAGAAGCTGTATCTGTAAAAGGGAGCATGGACTTAGCTTTCATCACTCCAGCCACAACTCTGGCTTCATACAACAATGATGTGGTTGGTCTTGAGGCATCAGCACTTCTGTTGCTAAGAACTGAGCGCCATATTTCAGCTGCCCGTTCCACTAGAGCAAGGGTCTAGGACCATCAGTGAGAGCTAGACTTAGAGAGTGTTTGGTTAGGCGACCTTCGACTTGACAGATGTGTTCTTCCTCCCTGAGTGCTGCTGAAGGTCAATGTTCACCCCATGGCTGTGTTATGGAGAGGAAGTTGCTTTTTGGCTCCTCCTGCTGCTGTCTAACTCAGTGAGGATCTGTGGGCAGTGAGAGCTCACAGCACAGTCTCCTCCATATCTCTAACCATGTGACCTTTCCCTTCCCAAGTAACCTGGAGACCATCGTCTCATTTCCTGGGGGAGAGAGCTTGCGTGGCTTCATTCTGGTGACGGTTTTGGTGGAGAAGGTAGCTGCACCTGGGATTAAGGTAGCTTCTCATTTCACACCACTTTTTTCTCTTAAGTGAGAGCCAGTCTGTGCTTTCTTTCCATCCTGCTCCTGACCCTGCCATTAATTTCTCAGCACAGGTGAACATAGACTTCACCCTACTTAGTTCTAGTCTGAGAAAGAGATCGCTCCCGTTTTTCAACTACTATAAAACTTGGAGTGGATCATTTCTCTACCAACACACACAGGCATTGTTCTAGAAATGGGGTATCTGGGTGTACAAGACAGAAATGGTCCCAGCCCTAGAAGCTCATGATCCAGGGGAGGAAGACAGACTAAGACAGATGAAAGGAGGAAAATTCAGGGTTTCATGAAAAGACAGCTAAAAGCTAATCCAGACTTGAAAGACCAAGGGCTGGTGGAGTGACTCAAGTGGTAATAATGTCTGCCTAGCAAGTGTGATGCTCTGAGTTCAAACCCCAGTGCTGCAAAAAAAAAAAAAGAGACACTTGTCTCAGATGTGAAGGCCCAGGCAAAACCTCCCTAGGGAAATGACAGCTGGGTTAAAACCTCAATGATGTATAGGAAGGAGGGAAACTGCAAGCAAGGGGGAGTGAGAGACAAAAAAGGGGCGGGGGGGGGGGCCCGAAACAGAGCAAGAGAGAGGGAAGAGACAGAAACAGAAACAGAGACAGAGACAGAACCAGAGAGAGACAGACAAGAGAGAGAATGAGAGTAAGACAGAGACAATAAAGATGAGAGATACAGACAGCAGAGAAAGACACACGGACAAGAAAGACACAGAGAGAGAAACAGAGAAAGACATGGACAAGAGAGAGACAGAGAGTAAGACAGAGACAAGAGACATACAGACAACAGAGAGAGACAGGAGACACACAGATGAGACAAAGGGGCGGGGAGAGAGAGAGAGAGAGAGAGAGAGAGAGAGAGAGAGAGAACAAGATCTTCCTGGCAGAGAAAACTACTTCTTGGAGTTGCAAACTTGAATGTTGTCAAGGGTCAAACAAGTACCTGAAAGGTTGGATATAAAACAAAAGATAGTGGAACAGACCACGATCAGATCAGTCAGAGCATTTATGTTTTACGTAAAGGCAAATTTAACTTAGATTTATGCCTTTCTTCACAGCTTTCCCTGTGAGCATATACTGAATGCCTACTGTGTCCTCAGAAGGGTGGCCACGCCTAGCATAGCTATTATAAACTACAGGCTGTTGCCAGGGGCTGTATCTCAAGGTAGAGCAGCACATTCAAGGCCCTGGTCCGTCTCCAGCAGGCTAAAAACCCAAAAAAGGCAAAACCATATGACCACTTTTTCTTAGGCATAGTCCACCGGAATATGCAAAATTATATAGTCCCCTTCCAAACATAATTAAAGTAGTTCCATTAAGAAAGAGACTCCTCTACGTCAAGGAAGGTTTTGCAGCAGAGGAGGCTCTGGTACAGGAGTGTCTTTAGAATCGCCTGAGGCTTCATGAGACAGCTTGGAGGACTGAGGACCTGGCTCAAGTGGTATAGAGCCTGTGCTTAGCAAGCGGGAGGCCCCAGGTTCAATCCCCAGTACCATCAAAAATAACAGCAATAACAACAAAAAAGAGCTTTGAAGGGCGTGAGGAGGCCATAGCTGGAGATGCAGAAATAGAAATGATAACAACGTACAATAAATCCAGGAAAACAAAGGGGAAAAATAATAGCGTTCAAGAAGTAGCAACCAGTAGAAAGATCCAGAAAAGCCTGACCAGCGTTCCACCTGGGAGGCACCCAGAGAGGTCCCCACCTTCAGGTGGGCCTCAAGGCAGGCCTGGTTTAATTTAAGAGTGCTCAGTCCAGCAGTTGGGGGTGCCCTCCCCTGGCTTCCCATCTCCATAGACATTGACTCTCATCCCCAGGCCCTTGCTCTGGCAGTGAGTGCCCTCCTGCAGCTCAACCAGGACGTCCTGCTCCATGCCCTGCAGCTACTGAGACTCTCCATTGAGGATGTCTCCAGAGCCTTAGGACAAATGCATGGTAGGATGCTCATGAAAGATGCCTGGGGTCAGGTCAAGGGCTGCTGGGGAAAAGGGCCTGGAGGTTGGGCCCATCCTAAATGGATGATGTGTCGTTCCACAAGGTGGCAGTGGTGTATCATCTTTGTTTTAAGGTAATTTGTACCTCACACCACCAGAGAGTTTCTCAGTGTGTAAAGATACCTTTACAGGTTTGCCCTTCTTTATATTTTATCCATGACTGGAATAGTTTCCTTTTTTCAGGGTCCAGGTAATTCTTTGGTCTTGCTGAAGCTTGGGAGGAGGTACTGTGTACTCCACCCTGCAATGTGAGGCCGCTGCCTGACAGGATTCCGATGGTGGAGTTTATCTTCACACTTCCTCAACTGGTCCCTGACATGATTGGCCTTGGCTTTAGATCCTGTGAGGCCAGGGCAAGCAGGAGTTGTCAGAGGCGCCAGCTAAGTGTCTTGCCCTTCCTGCATGGGTTGCCCCTTGTTCTGGTTGCTGTGTTTGGTGTCTGATGTCTGGCACGTCTTCAATTCTGCTATCAGACCAATCTAAAAAGCATGCTTTTTGAGTATTTAAGAAAGGCTTGGGAGAAGCCTCCTCTGCTCCATTTCCAGGGAAAAGCAGAGTCGAAGTACCTGTTTCCTTGAATTCTGCTTTACTGAAAGAGAGACAGATTCTGGCAAAAGACAGCATTGACTGACAACAGGATAGGAGAGGGTGGGGAGTGGTGCCAAGCTGCAACGTCTTGTGTTAAGTGAATTCACTTTTTGGCCATCTCAGAAATCCACCCGAAGTCACAGGATTGTGGGTTATTTCCCATCAACTCTCCCATTCTACATTTTGCACCATTTCATTGCATTTGAAATTTAATGTCCTCATGATCACATCAGGAGGCCTCCTGCCACTCAAGCTCCCCTGGTTAGTGAAATGTATTTGAGCTTCCCCAAAGCCCCATATCAAAAGTGCCTCCCAGGCCTTTATAGCACAATGAGCAGTCTGAGAAGGTCATGGGAAATTCCCCACGTCACAGTGCATGGCACAGTAAATTGCATACATGGTGCCTAATACAGCTTCCCTAGTGCTAATTTCCAGTCACTTTGTAAGTCCAGAACAACTCTCTGTTGTTACCCTTATCTCTTGAGGAGGTCTGACGGCCTGGGAGGCTCCAGGGATACTTTTCCTACTTCCTACAAAGACAAGTTTTCCCACACAGTCAGAATTTGTTTAAAAGGCCGTAACCAATAGAATGTAATAGTGGAAATAGTACGTGACTTCTGAAGCAAGGCTAGAAAAGTCAGGGCCCTTGAGATACATCATGCACAAACTCCAGCATCCTGGAGGCCACTAAGTTATGAGTGACAAAGGAAAGCCACACAGTGAGGTGCTCAGCTTGGCACCTGACTTGGGAGTGGATAAGCCCTCAGGTGACTCTAGGCTCCAGCCTCAAGTCTCTTTAGTCTTCAGGTCTTCCTGACTGAGGCCCCAAAACACTGTGGAGCTGAGACAAGCCATTGCCACCAACCCTCACAAATTCCCCACCAATGGAATAGAATGCTACCCAGTTGAGAGTGGTTGGTTCTGCTGCCATAGCAACCATAAAACTTTAGTTATAAAAATAAAAACAAATATTAGAAGTGGTAAGGTTTGAGGAATCACACAGATTTTCTAAGCCTTGTCTCTGGTTTATGGTTGTTAACTTTCTTCTGCATGATAAATGGAGCTTGGCTGGACTTCTTCCCTCTGCTTTCAGTCCTTAGAAAGACTTTTTACCAAGCAATGGTTTCTTTCAGAGCCCACCTTAAGCAAGCATCGTGTGCCCTACCGTCTTCTCTGTAAATATTTCCTTCCTGGCAGGTAGACCTGCTCATGCTCACAGCACAGGGGAAGATGGTCTTCGTGAATTGCATTTGACATGTCAGAGAGCCACCATACTTCAACCAGAGATGCCAGGCCTCTGCGGAGTTCTGCCCAGTTGCACACAGTGCTCACTACTGACCTTAAAGTAAAAGCAATTGCTCTGTTTACATAATCAGTCATGACTGCCCATAAAGCTATTTTAAGTCCATGATGGTACTAAAAATATCAACCACAGCCATGTCAACACACCATTGTCAGGGTCAGCACTAAGTAATCTTCGGGATCTCTGTCTAGCTCTTTTTTTTGAATTGGTGATTTAATTGCCTGTACCTAGTGTGAGCTTTGGGGTCCATTGAGAAGCTAAACTATTTTCAGAGTTTTAACATTCAGATTGTTTAGAGTCATATTTGTAGCATATTTGACAGTTTCTGTCCCTGAAGAGGGACTTTTCCACTTAGAAAGGTTAAGGGATATTTTTTCTCTCCAAAAAGCCATGTAGGTTTTTGTTTTTATTTGCTTCTAAGTCAACAGAATTTCTGGCTTCTGCTTGACTCACTGGTGGCTTTAAAATTTTTTCTTTTAATAGTAAAGAGTAGTCAAAATGTTTCCTTCTAACAATTTGGAATGTGTGTTAAAATTAGATTTTCTAAGGAGGAAAGTGGGCTAGCTTTAGTGTGAACTTTTCCTGCTCTTCTCTTCTGATTCGTTCCCTTAACATAGACAAAGGAATTTTCCGTTTCTGTTTATGACCTTATTTTGTCTAAAACCAGTTGGAAAATAATTAATACTGGAATTCTTCTCTGTTAAGTTCCATACAATAAAAGGTCATTCTAGTAAAGTTTATCTTCACTCAGGGGTTAGTTACACACAGTAGTCTGAATATATCCAAGCGCCAAAGTCACTTACCTTAAATTCAGTTTTGTAATGTGTATGCATCAGATCTGAAATATTCATCTACACAAACACACAAAAGCAACTCCCACAGCATTGAGGATTTTTATAAATCCTCACTGCTTAAGGACATGGGAAGAATTTAAATTACATGTCACACAACAAAACTACATAGAAGTCTATCATTGTCATTGATCATTTTACATGGTGAAGATTAACTTGGATTAGCTTGTACATTTACAACCTTCTTTGCTCTTCACTTATTTGGCTGAAGTACATCCTTTTGGATTTTCATAGTAAATGCCTGCTGATGTTAACTTTGTCATCTAAAATTTACCATATTGCATTTCTGAATGATATTTTTGCTAGCAACTCATTTCTTTTCAATATTGAATGCATTCAATACAATATCTTCTGTTTTCCATTGTCACTGTTGGGATGTTAGCTGCCAGTTCATCTTTTTTCTTTTGACTGCTGTATCAGTCTATCTTCCTTGGTTTGTTGGTGGCTTCTGTCTTCTTTCTTTTTTTCCATTGGTTCTCAGGGTTGATTTTTTTACTAAGTAATGTTGATTATTCATAAACATCATTTGTAAGCAGTTTGTAAGGACTAGGGTAAAGGAATATTTGTATTTGGTTCATTCTGGCTCCTGAGGATCTAAAATCCTGGGCCATCTTGAATTAAATTTGGTAAATGAGGGCCCATGTGCCAGTCAGGCACTTCGGCTACAGATGTGCAAAATATGGTCACAACTTTTCGGAGACAGATTTTTTTTTAAAATTTTGTTTGTTCTGTACCAATGTAACTTTCATTTTGTCTCCTTTGGGCACAGTGCGGGTTCACACAGAAAAAGAGGGTATTGGCACTTGGAGATTCCAGCTAATGTGAGAAGGGTATTGTGTGAAATTTGTCACCACAGTTAGAACCAAGTCCTTACTTCTGGCCCCATGATGCAGAGAAGCCACTAAAACCAAGCCCAAGTGTACCAGAACTGGCAAATGATTCTGGGGACAAAGCGGCTCTGCTGCTGGGTTCCTGTTTTCCCTGAGGTTTTTCTTGGCAGTTTTTTGCTGCTTTCATAGCTCTTGATGCTTTCATGGCCAGAGCTTCTGGTCATTTTCAGTGGAAGGATGGGAAGTACAACAGCACTCATCGCCACACTCTATTCTTTTTAAACATCATTTTCATCTGTTTCTCACTTGTTTCCAAAGTTATTCCTTGCCTGGACTTCTATAGTAGCTTTTCCAAATCCTGTTCAGATCTACTTTCACCTAATCTAATCCATCATCCAAAGAAGCTTTTAAAGTACAAATTAGATTACATCCTTTTAAGATTCTTCAGTGTGTGATGGCCCAGTCTCTTTTGGTGACCTCTAAACACACAAGGCATTTGAACACGTGAAGTGTTCAGGATGATTGGGGAGTCAGTGTACTTAACTGTTGAAAATTTAGCACACCCAAACAGTCAACCTGAATGTGGAATAGCGATTACTAAAAGTCGGGAAAGGGTAGGGTGGAAAGTGGATAAAGGTAGGTTGGATTTGATCAGTGCATGCTCTGTGCATATATAGAAATAGCACACTGAGCCCCATGTTTATGAGCCCCATAAACACCTTAGAAGCTGGGCACTGGTGGCCCGCCTGTAATCCTAGCTACTCAGGAGGCAGAGATCAGGAGGATTGCAGTTCAAAGCCAGTTGGGGAAAATAGGTCATGAGACCTTATCTTGAAAAAAATCCTTCACAAAAAAGGACTGGTAGAATGGCTCAAAGTGTAGGCCCCGAGTTCAAGCCCCAATACTGAAAAAAACAAAAACAAAAAAACCCTGAAACCTCATTAATAATGTTCATACTGATTACAAATTAAAATAATACTTTGGCTGTTGTGATTAAATTATATAAATATTATTGACATCAAATTTGCCAAGTTTTCCTTCTTAAAATGTTACTAATAGATAGATATTAGATATTAGATATTATGCTTGTCAGGTGGGGTGGTTTATGCCTGTAATTCTAGATAGGAGGATAATCATAGTCTAAAGCCAGCCCTGGACAAAAACGGGAGACCCTACGCAGAAAAATGACCAAAGCAAAAAGGGGCTGAAGGTGTGGCTGAAGTTGTAGAGCACTTGTCTAGCAAGCACAAGGCCTTGAGCTCAAACCCTAACACTGCCTAAACAAATAAATAACACTTGTAAATCACAGTGTATTTCTACTGAACAGTGCTAGTTTATCTAGCATTCTAAACAACTTTTGCAGGACGTA